ATTGAGTCTGATAAATTTGTGTAGTCCACACGATTTATCTTTTTGAGCCTAAACAGAAGCATTAATTGCTTTATTCTTTTACACTACACAGATTTAGCATTTTATATGTTAATTTGCCAAAGCGTTCATAGATATGCTATTTTTTTAGCTATCGATGATTGAATGGAAGACATGGTGAGATGAGCATCAAAAAGTCTCATATATACAGTACATCCGTTGTACTAAGTATATCTGTTATACTCACAGGCCAATCTTTTTATAAAGATTGAAAATAATTTCATACGTTGAAATTGGTTGTTACCTTCACATTCCCTTAATCTGAAAAGATTAAATAAGTGGATTTGCAAAGATCTACTTACAATTTCATGATTTGACGGCTTACACGGAAAATTTCATTCATCTTATGTATGATGGAATGATTCTCATTTCATCATAAGAGGGAGTATATGTAATAATGAATGAAATATTCATTTCCGAACATTTTAAAGGGAATTTAATGCAAAGATCAAGGGGGAGTAACTTCGAAATTGGCAAAAGACTCAAAAGAAGAAGTGCGACTAAAGATGATTACAAAAAGATTATTTGTGTGCTACAACGACTGAGATATGTTGAATGTGAAGATCATTTTCACAACAGTTTACTGAAGATTAATTCTGAAGATCCTTTGAAGATCACATCTTGTACAGTGTTTCTGAAAATTGTTTTTGAATCTGTTCTACATTGTTAAAAGAGAAGATCACCGTGATTCTACATTCGAGGAGGAGAATGCTAGAAGATCTTTCTCAACAGTTGATTACTTGAAGATTACATGTTGAAGATTTCTTTTGAAGAAGACATATTGTGCATAATGTTTCAAAGTTCAAACAAGGACTCAAAGCGCAGAATTTTCTTTCAAGTCTGAATATAAAGGGGGAGAATGTTAGAATTGAAAATCAGTATTAATTGTATTCGTCTTGAAAGTTAAATATAGTCTATAATTTTAAAAGTCAGCGTGTTTGACTTTCTTATAGAAGTTTGACTTTGACTATTGTTTAGTTTGTTGACCATATAAATATGGTTAGTCTTTGTAATTGGAAATGAGGAGAGCTCATTTGCATATTCATACGTAATAAGAGAGGTTTGATCATATTGTAAGGATTGACTTTCTCTCTCAATGTTCATGTGGTGTTCTTGAATATTATATCCTAATCTGCCATGATTATGGAGCTTAATATTAAGATTGATCATTAAAGTGGGACTCACAATAACGCGGTCGCCCTGAACCCCAGCCTTCATCTTAGTCAAAGCTAAGACCACTGCTTGTCTAGGCAAGTGTTGTGCATTCCTTCCGAAATAAATCCAACTAATAGGTGTTGTGCTCTTTTCTACCAAACCCCTAATAAATCACCTAAAAGCAGGATTCTTTACTTTGGTTGTAAAATACTGAATCCCATAAACATGTGTTCTCAAGTGTCTCGAAAATGATAGATTAAATGTTTCCATCATTTTATATTTATTTCCTTAAGTTTTCTATATCAAATTATCAATATATGTCCTTAAATGTGCCTTTTTTTTTCCTTCAAGAAAGAGACGTGCTTTCTTATCCCACCTAAATCAAATTCCCTATTTTGGTTTGGTTTGTATTCAATTATCATTATCAGTGGAAACAACCAACACTCAATCAAGATCAACTTTATCAAGACATTATCCACTGGCATTCAATCTACATTAATTACCC